TTCACCTCCCTCCCCGCTTGCCTGGCCCTCAACTCCCAGAGACGGAGGGGAAGAGAATGAGTTGCCCTACCTACAGATACAGAACTGCAAAGAAGCCTCAAAACATACAAGTCTCTCCAATCAAGTTAAGTTACCTCTGATGACTGACTTGCTTATTTTATGAACATTAAGCAGTATATGACAATCCTTTTCCCTCTCCAAAACGCAATTACTATACACACACAAAAAGCTCACAGCTACCCACACCCACCACATACTACTGATTTTACCTTCAATCCAATTACGTTCTGGCCATTAATTTCACAGATATTGTGCTCTGTAAGAAGGCCATTTCTCGCAGCAGAACTGTCTTTCACTATTGAGGTTATTTTTCCATTCTTGAATATGAAACCAACATGCCCTGTGCTGTCCTTATGCATAGTAATAATTCGTTCAAAAGGCCTGTAAGACATTTAAAATGCAAACCCATGTTTTCAATCTACTAAACCACAGAAAGAAACCACACACTATTTCAGCATCTTTGACTTACACAAAGTAATTGTACTCTAAAAGACTCATACATCAACTACAATGAAAAGCGGTTGGGTTTAATTTCATTTTGTTAATATTGTTATATTAATATAGACTTGTTAATAGACCTTACATGTTTTCCTTGTTCTATAGACATTTCACCACCTGGATTAACAATAATACAAAAATCCCATAAAACATCCACCCACCCACCATAACCACCAACCAAAGAGTCAAATGTCCATTAAAAATCAAGTTTTCTCTACAAACATTACAAGGTAGATAAAACAGCACAGGCAGTTTTAACAACTGGAGGTAGACCACAGAATTCAGGAGTACAAGGCTTCCCCAATAACATTTCTACTGCTTTACAGACAACGAATCTTTAAATTGTGTCTTAAAAAGCTAGTAAAGCCAGGAAAGGGGTGGGGAGTTGGGCACAAAAGTGGTAGACAGAGCAGGGCATCTACTACCACAGTATTTTGATTCAAAACAGATTTATATAAATTTTTATAAATTTATAAACAAATTTAATAGCTGCCCTGATAGCAGTAGCATGCCCTTCACTGGGTCAAACTTGGTTCTTCAACAAGAATAAACATTGAAAGTGCTTTGAGACATATACCTAGTCATATCATGTATCATCTGTCTTCTCACAGCCTACAGACTTTACGCTGATCCTGACCTATTATTACTACATACAACTATCTACAAGCTCATTATTTAATACAATTAAAAATCTCTATTGGTTCATCAAGCATACTTCTAGCAAAACTGGCATTAATTCATACATAAGCAACAGAGTTCACAAGAAAACTATCATGCTAAATAAAAATGCAAATGTACTCAGTACAGAGAATATTTTGGTACCATCTTTTATTTCTTTTTCAATTAGTATAAGCAAAAGTCAAGCTATGTCTGGAAAGAGCACAGAATTCTTGAATTTAGAGTTTAAATTTGACTTGTCCTATCACTCATTAGTTTACCTTGAAAAATGTTATGCCTCATCATGGCCAGGCAAGCATACACTGAAGTTTTACAAGTTAACAACTATTTTGACTGTTTCCCACAAAAGGGAACACTTCTGAGGATCTTTACTATTGAAGTATGTGGACAAACGAAGTTTGTCATGCCTGCAGTCCTGCTCAAGCAAGGGGAGACCCAAACCCCACAGAATTACTCTGAGATGGGTAATGACAATCAATATCTGCAGTTGGCTTTACCTGTCCCGAATGATCATTGAAATCCTTTCTCCAGAAGCCTGCTTCAGAACTTTATGTGCTTTATCAGAACTCCATCCTGCACAGTTTTCACTGTTGATCTGCAGAACTTGGTCCCCAAACCGCAGCCCAGCGAGGGATGCTGGAGAGTTTGCCTGAACTAACTGGACAAATATACCCTACAAGAGAAAAAAGCAGGGGGGTAGGGGGAGAGAAAGTTCTTCCTTAAAGATGAAGGCCAGTGACAGAACACATAGCCCTTTGAAGATTCCCATTCTCTATGTAATACCAAACAGACAAAGACTTGCTAATTATCTCTCCTTAAGAGGCATTTTTGAAATTTCAGTCTGTTTCTAGATGTCTTTATTCTAGTATTAATTATCTGTCAGTCTCTTAAAGTTCATAAATGGGCAAATTGTTCTGTCTAGATCTCTAGACATTAAAAAAAGACACAAGCATAACATTAAAGCCTTACCTTACTCAAAGGGGTAAATACTATTCTGTTTTAACAAGAAATCTGAACAACTGGATCAAGACAGACTAGTAGTAATTTTACTTATCTCCTTGTGCATTTAACTAATAATTCCTTTGCCAGACATCAGAGTCTATATATAGCCAGAGAAGTATATCAGCAATGCTAGGAACTGTATGGCAGATTTTTCATTCTTTCACAACCTCATTAGTTTTCAAACTTTTTAATCCATTATGACTTGCTAGCACCTCAGGTAAAAAACCCAAAGTGTTAAAAAAAAAAATATCTCTAGTCAAAGTAAAGTATGTCAAGGCAAACTGTAGATAATACCTTCAGGGGTGGGGGGCAGGATTTAATAAAAGAAAAAACACACCAGCACCACCACCACAAAAAACACCCCCCCACAAAAAAAAAAAAAAAAAAAAAAAAAAAAAAAACCCACCCAGCCACTAAACAAACTCTCCCCAAAAAAACCCAAGAACAGAGTAGCATTTTCCATGTTGAGAATCAGAAGATACTGAAACAGAGAAGCTCCAGAGCAGGTTCAAGGATCTTCTTGCAGCTACGTTCACATGAAGGGAAACTTGAAAAAAGCCTGCTCCGAAATTACTCTTTATATACAGGTAAGGTGACACCCTCACTATCCTTACTTTTCTCACCAGCAACACACTGCAAGGATCTATAAGAGAGGAGCTACTTCTAAGCCATGGGTGGTTCTCTGCATACTGCTGAGCTTCAAGTACTGCCCAGTGTTTCCACAAAGACAGAGACAAGTCTTGAACTGCTAACAAGTATCACAGTAGCTCTGCAAGGACAATTTCATGCTCTAAAGTGGAAAAAAAAATTAGAAGTGTTTTTCAGGTGTTATAAAAACACATGGAATTAAATTGCCGCTATAAATTTAGATCCTAGTCCAGACAGCTGGAAATCTAGTTACTGATCTAATGAAGAATTTTAAGATTCTGATAATGGCTAAGCAAGCATTATACAGAAGAGAGTTCTGTGACCATACACTAACTCCACTACTAATTTAATCCAGCAGAAAGATCTCTATAGGCAAAAGCAAGTTCTGTACTTACATTGTCAACAGACTTAAGGCGAAGTCCAATTTTGCCATCTTGATCCTTACATAAAATTGCTTCCCGGATGCCTTGCTTAATTTCTGCTCTGCGAATTCCAATATCATTTCCAGTCACTGGAGCTACCATGTAATTAGTAGAAGGTCGTGTTACCAGTTGCTGATTAAAACAAAATAGCCAGACAACTTAGTTTCAACTTTTTTAAATAGCTATAAGTCAGTTTATATGAAGTGATACTTAAAAAACACCCAACCAACACACAAATTAAGTCACAACACCAGCTCTTCCCCCCACCCCCAACACTGGAAATATACTGCTCAGTTTAAGACCAGATTAAAATAGGTGCTGTTACTTGAAACAATTCATTTATCAGTCAAGTATGGTACTTAAGACAAATAGTAGTCTACTCTCTAGAATGCTAGATAAACATTTAGTCTTTATGCTTGTTGCTTTCCAAAACATGCTTGACTGGTACCTACACCCTGTGGCTGAACAGCTGCTGCCACTGCTAAGTTTCCCTGCACCTCTTCGTCATTGAGGCTCAGGCCCATATACTGAGAAAGTTCTGGATACAGTCTGGGGTATAAGCCTATAGGAGAAAAACAAAAAAAAAAACCACATCAATACAATTGTTGGTTTAACAGAACAAGTAGTTACTGGTTGAAGTAATTGTACATATGAAAGCAATCTTGTGCTATTGTAACATACTTAATTTGAAAATTCCAATGGAAGACCCACTTGAATCGGGACTGTTACTCTAGCCCGGCATAGAAAAGTAACCAGACAAGCAGCACTTCTGAGATAAAGAGCTTACAGAGACGTTTTAGTTTCAGTTTCTTAATTCATCCTTTACAGCACAAAAATTAGACACATGGTGGTAAGTTCCAAAACCAATGTTGTGCTGCAGTCCATGAAGACACGCCCTTGCTCCAAAGCTTTTGGGCAATTAGTGGGGCACTACTCTACCTCCCACCCCCAAACCATGTATGCTGGAGAACAGACACACAGAATGACCTTCCACCAAGCACAAGACAGCACTCGCAAGAGGCATCCATGCCAAGGACGTTCCAGATCCCAGGCACGGTAGTTTCTGCGGAAGACAGCCTCCAGTCTGCTTTAACAGTCTTCATAAGAAAGTAGTGTCATTTTCTCATAGCTTCAAAATGAAGTTGGTTTAGACATGCTTCTCACAATGAGAGAAAACAAACACAGCCCTTAAAATATCCAGCAGGAGATTCTTCTATGCCCGAGAGGAGAGGAGCAGGGTGCAGGGAGTGGGAGGTAAGGAAGTTAAACAGACCAACTTGTCAGACCTTGAGTCAAACCACTCTGGAAATATGCTTGATATTGCTCTTGACATTCCACAGATAATTAACTGGTGCCATTTAATAAACAGCAGTTAGGAGAGCTCCTCATAGAGTCCACCTGCTGTTCTCACCACATTGGTGGGGACTAAAAAGGCTGTTTGGGAGAGCAAGGTGGTGCAAGGGACTGTCTTGGAAGCAAGCAGGCTCCCCAGTTCACAAAGCTCAGGTGTTTCATGTTTATTTATGGGTACATGGATAAAACCAGCTGTTATAAAAGTCCATACTTGACCAGAAAGGGAAAGTAAGTTTCCTGGGAAGGAACAAAGGTCATTGCAAGGTGAATTCCAGTATAAGTGCGAGACTTTTTTTTTTCTCCTTAATACTTTCAGTGGTCATGTTTGCATCCTGCTTCACATGAGAGCTGTCTGATCATCTTTCCAGATTGATCTAGCAGCTTTTAGTTTCACCAATATTGATTAATAAGCTTTTACTGAATATTTCTTCTATTTTTGCTTGCGTTTTCAAGCCCCTAGGATTATACACAGTAAACATTGCACAAGGCTTCTGCAGCTAGTTGGTTTTTCTCTTTTGTTCTTCATCGAAGACCACAACACAGGATGCATCTTTGCTGGCTGTATTATATTCTCATTCAAAACAGAGGCACCTCCAAACAGCAGAAAACATCCAAAAGCTCTTGATGTTGTATATTCTCCTGCCTCTGCCAGGACAGAGTAATTCCCAGCAGGTTTGGTACATCCTATAGATGGTGTAGGCCTCCCTTCCTTTGGGATATATTGAGTGATTAATCACTCTTCAGCCACACACAGCTCCTGAGCAATTCACATACAAGGTGATGTCAAAATTATGTCCTTTGGCCAGCACACACAAAAATTGCAGGAGGATTCAAACTCTGGACAGTAGAAAGAATGCTGCCAAGAAGGGACTGCTCAAGCAAACTTAAAACTGGTCTGCAAGGTTAGGCCAGGTAAGTTTCTAGTCCAGAAAAGATCTACAAGAGGTGGCTCTCTGGTGAGCTACACACACTCCTGCCTTAAAGTCATCTCAGACACACCAGTGCCAAGAGGAGAACTGGAGACAAAATTACATCCACCAAGCTCTAACATCTGATCAACCAACATTCTTGGCAACTGTTCCAGCGCTGCTGCTGGTCATGCTGGTTAGAGGTTTTAGGCTTTAGACCAAGCGTAACTCACTAGCCTAGAGCGCTGAACTCTGACAATACCTGCGCACCTTCGTGGATGTACATACGCATGGAAGAAAAGGAAGAGAAATGGGTACAAGTCATTCAGCTTTAGCTCTGACGGATTTCCCACCAGACATTTGATCCTAAAATCTGCTGGAAGCTTTATTTTGATAGCCTGACAAGATTAAGTTCTACCTTCCTGGGCACTTCTCTATTGACAGAGATTCGTGTGTGTTTGTTACCAACCAAGCTCCTATGGAGAGGAAAGGCACTCAGACTCATACATGCTGCTCTCTAAACCTTACAAAAATACACTTAATAAGTAAGGACAACTGAGTTCAAGGTAAGAGTTAAAGAGAGCTCAAATGGTACCAACAGCAGATCTTGTTATGTTAGGCTTACTTGGAAAAGGTTTGAAAAAATTAGGAGAAGAGTTAGTGTTTGCCACAACTTCCTTTTATAAGCAAACACTGGTTTTTGACTCCTATAGTGCCTCTACCAAGGTGGTTTGGGGCAAGGGGAGGGTGGTGTTGGCCTTTCTAAAAAGGCATGGTCTCACCCTTAGTAAATGGGATTACATATTTATAGGTATTTTTGACTGTACTGTAACCTCAGGCTTTCATAACTGCTTTTCACAACTAGGATACTACACAGTACATGAGCTTACCTCCATCATGAGGAATAGAAGCAGAAGCTTCAGACAAGATTGCTGGATTAGCTGGGTTTGAAGAAAAGGCAGTCTGAGCCTGAAAGCAAAGAAACTTTCATACGTTATCTTGTATAAGAAAAAAAAAAAAATCTATGAAATCTTTCTTATGCAGCCAGGAGACTAAGTACTTCCTTTTTTCTTGTACATGCTAGTTACTATTCATCTTGAAGCCCTGAAGTCAATATTTTTCTTTGAAATAAATAACTTCAATCCAATATGCTGCAGTAGTATCAAACTACTTTGGTAGATCAAGTTGTATCTGCCTCAGAGACAAGGCTACAGTAATAATGCAGAAAGGCTTTACTATCAGCCTGTTCTGGTTTTGTCATTAAGCAAGTTAAAAAGCATAAGGTCTCCTTAAAAGACATATGAAACTTGGCTGACAAAGCTTTATAACTAAGTTTTAAGGTATGACCTTTGGCAGAGTGTTTTGTGATTACTTTTTTCAGCTGGATAGCAGCCATTTTTATCTCTTCACCATTTATAGACGTTGTTCATGAGCTCTGCCACAGTCCCTTATAGGTTGCAACTTAAGTTCCATACAGTCCAATGCTACTAGTTTAATACCTTTGAAAGAAATGGACCTTTTAAGATTATTTTTCTGCAGAAGTTGCCACTACAGTGAACACACTAAGCTTAGTTTCTATATTGCTTACGGACTCAAAAATTTAAGAAACTGTATTAAAGTAAGCCAGTTTCCTTCCTTCTCAATACCTCAGCTACTACTTTTCTGGCCTTGTGTAATCCTGACCAGTGAAAAACCCTGCCTTACAGAGGCCTGTTAAGTGCGATGGAAATAGCTATTCCAATAGCTTTCCCAGGGTTGAATGTCAAAGGTGGGGGAGAAATCACTAAATGCATAGCGAGACATTATGCTGAACAGGACACATAAATCATCTAACACAACATGACAGTCAAATTACTTAATGTTTTTAAGGAGATCATGCTTAAAAATAGAAGACTTCGTAGTCCTGTACTCTCCAGGAAGTTGTTTTTAGAAAAGAGTTTCAGAGCAAGAATGACTCATTATTTATCAATGTCGGATGTCTTTAGAAGAATAGCCTCCAATTCAAATGCTGGACAAAAAGAACAGGTTAGAGTATTTAATGTAACAAGTCTGTTTGTTTTAACCACTAGTCACTTCAGTCTCACTCGTGGACACAAACTTTGTCTTTCAGTACTCTGCTCCCTTTCTCCTAAGGGTGCTCTGAGACATATTTAAAAAGACAGCATTTTTATAATGCACTTCCTGGGAGAGGCAAATAATTTAGCCTTGGCTACCAAAAATATCAGTGAAAACGGAATGGCTTTCTCTTGAAATAATGGTATTTAGCAATGACAGTACTTACTTCCCCTCTCTCACAGCTGTACTCAGCAGACAGCTCATTACCCTCCCAGTTCCTACTGCGGTTGGTAGGAGCGAGATGCTGTCACGTAACTGCTGAAGGGCAATCTTCCCCATCGATGACAGCAAGAACACCCAAGCCTCTACACAAGGGATCTGTAATCAAATGCTCTTAGCTCTACCTCCCTTCTCCCCCACCCCCACACGAATTTTCTCACAGGCCATCCTGCTTGACATCCCACTCAACAAGTGCTAGAACTTTGTGAAATCCTAATTTAAACTGAGTGGACAGTCATCTTTAAGTATGACAGCAAGCATCTGTCCCGCATGAACTGATTTCTAGAAAACTGACCTTTGAGCTCACAGTGTCACCAATAACTAAACTAGCTTAAGAGAACAATTTGTTATGCTCCCTACAGAAACCTCTATAGGGTTTACTCTTATTTGTCTGTGAAACACCACAACAGACTACAGGTGTAATCACACAAACAAGGCACTCTGCCCAAGTTCATAAACCCTGCTGAGTGTATGGACAAGACAACATAGAAGAAGAATCCCTGCTCTATAAAATGACAGAACATGTATCTACGGTTCAAGGTTTACAGGATTCAGCATAGAGATACCCTACTTCCATTTCCTCAGTGCTTCATTCAGTGGTCACAAAAGTTAAGCAGTAGAGAGACTGCATTTAATATTTTTAATTGTAATATATAAACTCTAGCAGTTTGCCTTTACAAGGCCAGAGGAGCACATTCTTGGCTCCAGGCTATTTTTTTCCTCCAGTTCAGCATTACCTAACTGCAGAAAAAGGACTTTGGTAAGATAAGAAGAATGGGGTATGCAGACATGACAAGGAAAAATCCCAACACAGCACCCACAACTTTAAGAGCCCCACCCCACACATAAAAACACAGGTGAGACTGAGGCACTCTACTTTGGGACAGCACAGGAGAGTTAATAATCTGTTCTGTGCAGTTTGCTTGATTGCTTCCCAATGAGGAGGACAAGGAGAAAGCAGCAGTCACCTTAAAACGCAGTATAACTCACTGCTGTTGTTTAAACTGGGAGAGAATCCAATTTAAGTTTAGGAAAGAAAAATGGAAACTAGGTAAAATGCTGAAGAAAGCAAGGAGACTCCTCGTAAAATACATTCATGTCAAATTTCTCATGGAGTTTTTATCCATTTAAATGTTTTTCATTATTTGGTTTCACAGATCTTTTTTCATCCTCATTCTGTCTAATAATAAAGCTACCAGTATTTTTACACATAAAGGCTTTTACACAAATGTGATAATCTTGGAAGTATCGAGAGAACAGGTCACTACCATGAAATAGCTAGAGGACAAGTCTGTGATTCCAGATGATGTTAAGAGAGCTAGTGCTTTTTTTTTTTGTGCCCAACTGACCATGAAAGCCTTCTGTCACAGGTTTGGACACCAGGAATGAGACCCAGCGGGTTTATTAGTTCAGTCAATACCTATTCATCACATCAGAACTGAAGTATGAGAAGCAGACAAACATAGTCATTCTCTTAAGACCAAGTATCTATACTTCAAAAAAACCCCAAACATATCAACACATTAAATGACTATAAATGAATATATAAAACAAAATAAATATACCAAACAGTGATAAAATAAGCATTAATCATATTATATCAAGCTACAAAGTAAACAGTTTGTCTTTCCCCTTTTAGAGGGCAATGGTAAAACAAACTCTCACCTACGATAAAAGTCTCCCCTTCCCCGGATTAAGCATCATCAGCTATATTATCATCAAAAGTCATCTTATAAAAGCCCACCATACCTGAATAACTTTGTCCACCTTCAGATCTTCCAAAGAAGGATAGAGAGACATTTTGGTGCAGTCTCACTGGGTAGAGGGAAGACAAAAAAAAAGGGGGGTGGAGGGGAAGCAAACAAACAACAGGGTTAGCCATCAGAGATATTTACTTAGGACTACAAATAAACCAAGCACACACACACACACACACCCCCCAAAAGAGAGAAAAAGAAAACAGACATAAAGCATTAAGTGCTCTGTGACCTGCAAGCCAGTTGAACTGTGACCTGCAAGTCTTAGCACTACAGATAAATTCCATTAAGACTACCCATTTAATCTATATCAATAATAGCCTTTGCATAATAGGCTCCATTTAATACACTTAGCATTGTCAAAGTTTAGGTCTCAATGATGAGAAGGCCCATACAGAGAAAATCATTTCACAGCAAGTATTGCAAAGACAGAGTTTAGGAGGCCGTGATGCAATGATCATGAGGGTTAAGAGGAAAAAAAAAAAAATCTAATTACCCTCCTCCTAGTCCTCCTTCCAACTGGGACAGTATTTTATATACAACTGCAGAAGCTTTCACTCTGCTATCCAAATACCCGAAAACTTTCCTCAGTTCTGATGTTCCAGTAAGAAGCCACTAAAGAGAACTGGCTTCCTGTGTCCATTTGCAACACGTTAATTGCAGCAAGAGACCATAAAGCAGCCAGATTCAGTCAGTGGTGAGTTTCAAAACACACAAAATCTTTATGCTGGCTCTCATGTGATGTTGGGAGAGCCCTGTGACAACTTATCAGGAAGTAATAAAAAAAAGCCAAGGAAAAGAGAACAAGCAAAAACAAAAAAACAAAACATTTCACATAATCCTCTGAAGAACCACACTAACACCCAGCTCCACTAGAGCCGGGCAGCTGAGGCTTTGGGAAATCTCATTTTCTAGAGCTCCTTCAGTCACATTCTCACTGAGGTCACTGAACTTTTTAAAATTCTAACAAAACATTTCACACCAACACACGGGAACATTTTAATTGGGCGGGGGGGGAGGGGGGAGAAGAGGGACAGAAACAGAAGACAACAAAATGCGATACAATTTCGGAAGTTATACAAGGCAAAGAGAACACAGTTAATGAGGCAGCCCTATTAAAAGCTTTTGGTTTGGGGATTCATTTTCTCGTCCAAAGAGAGGTCCTTATTAGTGCAACAACTTAGCAATAATTCCAGCCTAAAAGTGATGCTACACAAATCCTTGAGCTACTGCTTCTCTACATGCAGATATTAAGGTGGTTTTTGAAAAAAGCCACACACACCGATGCCTAATGCGATATTGCAGTAACACAATAGACGTCCCTTCACATTACGCTAAGGTCATCAACAGCTTTTCTGTTTGTTCAGCGGAGTGCCTCACAGCTCCAGTATCATGTCAGGCTACAATTAAAACTTCAAAAAAGGGTGGCCTAAATGTGACAGAGATCTAAACTGCAAACACGTGGCCAGTTATGTTGTAATTAATTGTCACTGACATTTTTTGACTAATTGTTGCAGCTAAAACGAACATAGTTGAAGCCTGGCAGCTTTAGAAGTTAAACATACACATTTAAAACCAGCTTAAAGTTCTGTTTTGATCCAGCATCGACCTGAAGCAATCAAGTGCTGTTGCTCATCCAAAATGGGTAGTAGCAAACACAAGCCCAAGCCCAGCAAACCCCTCGCTCAGGTAAGCGGTGCCCAGACACTGCCTTCTGCTGCTAACGCCAGCCAAGTCACGCAGCATCAGACTCGCTACCTGCTTCCACACTACAGCTGCCCTGGTACATTCAGGTGTCGGTCCAAGCGCTGGCACGTGTTCAAAGTCGGCACACCCCCAGCAGTGCGTAGGCAGGAAAAGAGGGCAGGCCAAGGACGGTGCATTCCCAAAGGAGCCACCCCATTTCAGGGCGATGAGGGGCACAGGAGCAGCATTTTACTGCTGGTGAGCTCTGACATCTGCACAGCGGCGCAGCACAGCACAGGGTCTGCCAGGTCCCTGGTCCCAGTGACCGACTTCCGCGCCACAAACCCCAGCGTCTTTACACCTCGGCCAGCTTTAGTTCTCCTCCGCAGAACAGTCTCACTCTGCACGCGATTACTGGTCACCAGTAATGTCACATTTGTCACAGGTGGGCAACCTCAACCTTCCTCTAGTTTACAAAGGGAAGCACAGTGCTTTCTGTAGAAGAGTATTAGCAAAACTAAACACATATTAGTTCTCAGATCACTTAAGACGACACTCCAGCAGCTTATCACGCCACTTTACAAACACCTGGCCGCCTCCGCTCCCTATCCGAGGGCTCACAAATCCAAGTGTTTCTCACTGCTACCAAGGAGCTGCCAGGCTAGCTCCCTCGTTGTAATCTCACCAGTTACTATTCTTGGTTTTCCAACTAAATAGCCAGAATAACTGTCACCACTATAATTGCATTCAGTGAGCTCCTAAGTTTGCATACAGCATTTTCAATTTCTACACCGGCGGTTGTAGCAAGTAATACTTGTTAGGTAAAGCAAAATCCGCAAAAATAGCGTATTTTGTTTAAAATATGACCTTTTAATAACAAGTGCCACTGTCAGGGGCCACCAGTAACTGCAGAGAGAACTTGTTCACGACTTCTGCGCAGTGTTATTCACAGTATAAACAAGAGTTTCACAGGCGCTGTAATGGCTTTAGGCACTGGGGACCAGCTATGACAAAATGTGAGTCACTATAACCTCCTTTTCTCCCTTAAAAATCTACACTGACACCAGAATAATTTTCCTTGATCATTTCCATATTCCTGTGCCTTGTGAGGAACGCAAGTGAAACCCAAAGGAAGAGCATGGGGCAGGAGGGACAGCTGTAATTCAGCCAGCGACCCGCAAAACCCAGCGGTCAAGACCCATCCCCATTTCTCAGTACCCTTGGCTGGGAAGTCCAACTGCTGGCGCCTATCAGCACATCCCATTAAGCAGATCCTGTTTGCCACAGGGAAGCACTGGGCCGCTGGCCAGAGACCTGTGGAAAGGCAGCACTCGTGACACCCTGGGGCTGCCAGCAGGAAGTCTTGCGGGGGGAGTAATCCCAAACTCCCCTCCGTGGCACGTCTGGGAGGAGATGGGCTGCCCGATACACTCTCCAGGTCAGAAACCAGGGAGCTGAAGGCAGCGTGGGATCCAGCTCAACCCCAAGCCTGGCCAGCCTGGAGCAACTGCTGTCTCTGAAAGCAGCGGCAGCCAATAGTGGGGGAGAAGGGAAAAAAACCAAACCAAACCAGCCACCCGCAAGTGTGTTCTGCCTGTGGCCCATGGAGAGATTACAGCAAGCCACAAAGCCAGCACCTGTACTGAAACATCAGTTTCTGCTTCCTGAAGAGTTAGAAGCCTGTCAACCCAAAAATTCATCCTTAAAGCAGATCCAGGACAAAACTTCCCAGAGATCAGGCTGCGACATCAGGAACTGAGCAATTGTTTTGCAAGACACGTTCTCTGCTAATAACTCAGTGTTTCCCTCCTGATGCGGATCTAATTAGCCTCCGAGGAATTGCTCTCACTATGCACTGAGGTTGCCCACCTGTGACAAATCTGCTGCCTCCATTTCAGCCCTAAAGCAGGGCTCG